TCAAATTCTTCAGGTTGAACAAACTGCTATTGTGGACTCTCCTAATTTGAATAGCCTGTATAAGGAGTATGAAGCAACTATGTGGCAGATTGAAAGCTATTGGAGACAAAAATCCTGCCAAACTTGGCTGCACTTGGGTGACAAAAATACAAACTTTTTTCATAGAAGCACTCTATTTAGAAGGAAAAGGAATCATATTGAGGGCATAAAAGATGATCAAAATAACTGGAAATATTCCCATAAAGACATTGCCCAAATCTTTGTAGATTATTTTTTCAAATTTCTATACGTTTCAAGATCCTCAAGAAATAGAGGAATTACTGTAGTTAATTAATCCTATAATTATTGAAGAGGAGGATAATATGCTTTTAAATATTCCACCTACATATGAAGTCAAATCATCCCTTTTTAGCATTGGAAGTTTAAAATCTTCGGGCCTAGATGGAATGCCAGCCATAGTATTTAAGGAATGTTGGGATATGATGGGGTCAGAAATAGTATAGGTAATCCAAGAATTTTTTCTAAAAAAAAACTTTTATGAAGGCTCAATCATACCATTATTTATCTTATTTTAAAGAAAGTAGATTGTACGAAAGTACAAGACTATCGTCCTATCAGTTTATGTAATGTCATATACAAAGTTATAGCTAAACTGATAGCTTCTAGACTTTGTAACCTTTTAGATAAGTGTATTGCCCCAAATCAGTTAGCCTTTGTCTTAGGTCGTCAAATGACTTATAATTCTATCATTACTTGGGAGATACTCCACTATCTTAAACATAAAAAAAATTGAGGTATAGGCTATGTTGCCCTAAAGTTAGATATGTCTAAAGCCTACAACCGCCTAGAACGGAGCTTCCTCCTAAAAGTTTTATCTCTCCTTGGTTTTTCAGAAGACTTCTCTCACATGATAAAAGAATGTATTTCTACGGTCTCATTTTCAGTCTTAATCAATGGTACCTCAAAAGGACATTTTTGCTTCTCTAGAGGCCTTCGACAAGGAGATCCTCTTCCTCCCATTTATTCATCTTGGCTATGGAGGTTTTGTCCCGTCTAATTTGGCATGCAGAACAAGAAGGAAAATTACAAGGCATTCAACTAAACCCTTCATCCCCAGTAATTTCCCATGTATTTTTTACGAATGATGTTATGTTGTTTCTTCATGCTCATAGAGAGGAATTTGTTATGTTTGTGCTTTGAATTCTTTGTGACGACTTGTTTCATGAATCCACTCCAAATTATTTTGAGAGAAACCCGAAGGCAAAAGCGGCGGTATGGACCCGACCCATATTCATCTTATAGGTCCGAACCGAATACAAAGAGTTATGTATTTTTAGTGGTTTTCTCTCTTGTATATAGAGTCTTAGTCTTGTGAGAGACAAGCGAGACACTATTTGGGGCTTAGGATTTTATGTGAGGGCACAACTCTATATTTCTTCTCTATTACCAACTTCAAAGTGGTTTTTTGTTCCTCCTTCGCTTGTGGACATAGGCTATAAGCCGAGCCAAGTAAATTTGTGTGTGTTCTCTGTGTTTGTTTCTCTTTATCTCTATTTTACTTTCATTTTTGAGTGTCATTCGAATTTGTTTTCTTGGGTTTTTCCACAACAGAATTAGATAATTTAAACCAGTTCATTCTTAAGTTCTAGTCAACCTCTGGTCAACTGATCAACTTTGTAAAATCGGGTTTCTATTGTAGTAAAAATATTCATCCAAGACACCAAAGAATGGTTAGATGTCAATTACACATAGGCCCCCTTAATAGAAACTCTAAGTACTTGGGTATTCCTCTTTTTTGGGCTAGAGACAAACACACTAAACTGAATTAGGTCCTAGATAACTTCAGTTCCAAACTTAATAGATGGAGAGGTTCTGCTATTAGCCAGGCTAGAAAGAGAATACTAATCCAATTTGTTCTTCAAGCTATTCCCCTCTATTCTATGAGTCTGTTAAAATATCCTTAGAAAATGATTAATAATATTGAAAAAAATTATTAGAGATTTCTGGTGGGGTGCCTCTAATTCTCGGAAGCATCCTTACCGCTGGTGTTCTTGGCACACACTTACCTTACCTAAAGCTTTTGGAGGATTAGGATTTAAAAATCTGAAACTAGTAAATCCGTCCCTCCTAAAAAAGGTTGCTTGGAGATTCCTAAATGAATGCATAAATTATGGGCTCAAATTTGGAAATCAAAATATCTCAAACATTAAAACCTCATACCCTATTCAACATCTTTCTCAGGCTCCGTTTATTGGAAATCCATAAGCCCAAAGATTACTGAACTTTTATCAGAATGCAGTTACCTAGTGAATGAGAACGCTTCTTTCTATGTGCACCAAGTACCTTGGATTCAGTCCAATAATGAATTCTCTTGGATCCCTTTCCCTTTGGCTCCTCTCTTTAAGGAACATGAGTATTTCAAATCTCCTTACCTTAAATCAATGGAATGTCAACGTCATTCAATGTTCTCAACTGAAGAGCAACAAAAATATTACAAAACCCAATCTTCCCTTCAAATAATGAAATCACTTGTATCTGGTCTATTTATAAATTGGGCAAATACAAGATGAAAGAAGAATATAAGAAGAATCAACAACCTTCCCCATCTTTCCTCTAATCTCAAATTTTTCTTAACTAAAATTTAGAAACTCTATATTCGTCTTTGATATCAATTATTCTTCTAGAGAGTTATTAACAATTAATTCCAGTAAAGGACATGACTTGTGCAGATCCTCAAGATAAATTTTGTGTTCTTTGTAATGAAGCAATTGAATCCTTTTCACATCTCTTTATTGATTGTCAATTTACTTAAGATTTTTTTTTTTTTGCAAACCCCTGGAATTTACATCTTAATAATATTTTTCAAGGTTCTTGGATCTCTTGTATAAATAATCTCTATAATTTGATTGCAGACAATCAATTATTTCTAAGAATTTTAGGATGAATTGTTATTGCTTGTTGCTATATTTGATATGCACGAAATGAAAAATGTTTCAGAAATAGGCAAACACTTCTCCAAACCCTCATCAATATCATCAACCAAATAGTCCAGCATACCTCAAATTCCTTGAATGAGTCTCAAGATTGTAATGTGTTCCCTCCTCAAAAAATGCAGCTTCCTATTACTAATTCTATGGATTTAATTATCTTTACATGCAGGAAAAATTTCTGACTCATTACGCAGACCTTAACGGAACTCCGAAACTAGTATGGTAAAAGTAATTTTAGGGCAATTTTAGGGCCCTAATATCAATAAAAGTAATACTTTTAAAAAAATTTCAAAAATAGGTTAACTTTTTAAAAATAATATCAATTAAGGGCAAAAACACTGTTCATCTTCTTCCTCTTGCAATCTATTCATCAGTGCCATTGTCCACCGCCGTCTGCCGCTGCCTCCGGCAACACCTCCGCCCACCTCCACCTCCGGCTCTGACAATGTTGCCGGAGGTGGGCAGAGGCAGAAACGGCGGCAGTGCTGGTGGTCATTCCTCTGCCCAACACTGCCACCTCCTCCGCCTCTGCCTCTGCTCACCTTTGGCAACGTTGCCGGAGGCGGAGGTGGCAGCGTTAGGCAGTGGAATGACCACCAGCGCTGCCTTTGCCTCCACCCACTTCCAACAACGTTACTAGAGGCAGAGGTGGCAGCATTGGGCAGAGGAATGACCACCAGTGCCGCCGCTACCGCCTTTGCCTCTGCCCACCTCCGACAACGTTGCCGGAGGCGGAAGAGGGCAGAGATAAGCGGAGGCAGTGAAAGACGGCGGCGCTGATGAATGGATTGAAAGAGAAAGAAGATGAACAGTATTTTTACCCTAAATTAATATTATTTTTAAAAAATTAACCTATATTTGAAATTCTTTTAAAAATATTACTTTCACTGATATTAGAACTTGCCCTTTTCTACTATAATCCCAAAATTAATTTTAATCTGTTCGGATGCACAACAGATAATGAGAGCTTTAAAGAAGACAGCTGATCTGCCCTGGTCATACCATTGGAACTTCTGAACTTTTCAAAAATACAATTTTGTTATGTAAAGCGTACTTTTAATAGTCCTGCCCATATGGTATCCCAAAAGGCTAAAGTGCATTCTCAAGGGTAGAGGACTGTGTAATAATTATATCTATCTAATATAATTGCTTTACCTTTCAAAAAAAGTAATAATTATGTAAGATATCTAATATATAGTAAATTAAGTACGTTAACTTGAGCATAGCCCACATGGTGCCAGGCCATGCCGGCCCATAGGCTAATTGGCCCGTTTTACACCTATACTTGCAATGTGTACATTGACATAATGGTATGAAACAAGGTTTTCGAATCACTATTAACTCAGACGGTCAGACCATTCAGCCCAGGAACCGTCTAAACAATCGGTTCCATTTTACTTTAAATCTAGTTTTAACCAAAAACTGTTAAAAAAGTCAACAACCTATTGACCTGAATAATCAAACTATCGACTCATTGACCCATTCAACGGTTTTGACCGTTTTTTATTTTTAATTATTTTTTAATTTATTTGTCAAAATGAACTGTTCATTTGAACCAGATCGTTAAACCATCGACCTGAAAACCAATGGCCAGAACAATTCCATTTCCGGGTCATTTTTTTAAACGTTTATAAAATAGGTTATATGATCATTGTGTGAAAGTAGGGGAACTCTGCCACAAAAAATGGAAATAGTTGGGGTTGTATTTGGTACAATTGATGTTTTCAACCTGAAATGTTTTGAATTGATGGATGCAAATATATGTATTGTACTGTTGCGATGAGAGTTACTTCAGCAAGAATGATTAGACTTCACCCCTAAAACAAAAAATGGTCTACAAACAGCTTCCCACACTTGCATTTTTAAGATATGCGTTTTGTATTTCTGTTTCAAAAAATGGTCTACAAACAGCTTCCCACACTTGCATTTTTAAGATATGCGTTTTGTATTTCTGTTTCAAGGATAAATAGTCTCAAATAACAATTGTATGCCAGTTTTTGATTAATCATCCCAAAATGTTTCAGGTAGCTAAAGCAATGGTACCAAATACCAACCTTAACAGCCAAGATGAAAATGTACTCACCATTGTCCATTGCAGCAAATATTACATCCTATAAACACTGACACAACTCCTATTTGTTTTAAATTCAACCACCTGGTGATATGATTTTTGACCGAATGGCTGGCGTGCTCATGTTTTATTGGGCGGTGGCAGGATTTTGCTGAGATGCAGAGCTATGGGTCTCATATATACCAGAGAAGCGGTGACCTTTTTCTTTATTCTTGCTCTGGGTATATAAAACACAAGTAGCACAACACGACAGATTAGTTAAGGTATAATACCTATAAAATATAAACAAGCCCTTTTTATGATTTATGATTTATATGCATATACAAATACATATTTCTGCATGGACTAGTGATCTGTATGAACTAATTAATAGGATCGTCACATACTGAACCTTGTAAATGCAACTCTGCATCCTTTTTAAGAGAACCCATTGGAGCAGCTCACAGTCCTCCTTATTGCCTTCAGCTTATCGGCAGCTTTCTGCGCCTTTGTTGGAGGCTTCACCTTCATTTCTTCCTCCATCTGCATGTGCAGAAGAAAGAACAATGAACCAAATGCTTGAATAGAGAGGGAAAACAAACCCATATATAGATACTACTGAGGAACCTCTAAATTCTACCAGTGTTGATTACACTACTATAATAGAATTACCTCTTGCCTTCTTTTCTTCTCTGCTTCTGCCTGTTCAACAAAAGATAACAGAAGTTGGAGTTTAGCACAACTAAGAGAAGCCCTGCAAATCAGAAATATCGCCTGAGCTATTATGGATATCATTTCAATTACCAGAGTCATCTTGAGCCGAGCATTCTCCTCTTTCAGATGGTTCAACTCTGCTTCCAGCTCCACAGTATATGCCTGCATATAGAATAACTTTAGTATCATGTACACAGTGAACAATGGAATCATATTGACAATTGGAATATTGCAGACTTCTCACTTCTGGCTGCTTTTTGTTTCTCTAATCTCCAATATAATTACATTAATTATAGTCAAACTCTCTCCATTTACATGGGAGAAACTTAAGTATCACAGAGACAGACACTGAGATACAAACTCATTATTCGGAGAGGGATAAGTCCAATGACACCTATCTAGGCATACCTGTCTCCAACAGTAATCAGATATGTCTAACCTCTTCCTCTTAGCGAATTCTCCTTTCATTCTCTGTCTCTCGTCCTGTGACTGTGATGGTCTATGGGTTTTGGAGTTCGGAATGGCAGTGAATATGTACCCAGGGGTCAAAGAGGCTACACAGACCTTAATAGGAGGTGGGTACTTGTTGTCCTGCCGCGTTACTGTCCGTGGAAATCGACTGTCCTTGTTTTTCGACATCAAGTCACTAACTTGTCCAACAAATTGGTCGAGCTTAAATGTACGCAAGTTATTATACGCAGGTGGAATCCTAGGCTCGCTGCCTCAGTCCAGGCGGTGAGTGCCTCGAGATGCGTCTTTCTCCAACACCAATGGCGGTCATCATGATCATGTGGCTAAAATCCAATTTGTTTCACTAAAATAAAGATCACTATTGCACATAAGGCTTTTTTTATGTCGTCAGATTGGGATCCACCAATAGATCCATACCCCACCATGTAGCTGGGACAGAGGAGATCATCTTGGTCATAGTTAACTTGATTCAATGACAATTTCGACCACTAATCAATCACATCATGTCTAATTGACTTAAATTCTAGAGAATAACAACATTCCCATTAAGAATGAGAAGTGTGATTATCACCGTCTATAAGACTTCTCCCATCTATGTTAAAAACTTAAAACTTGAAACTGATCTCATACCTGTTTTCTGGCTCGAGACCTGGCCGCTGATTCTCTGTTCTTGATCATCCTGCGTTGCCTCCTCTCCACCACTTTCTCTATTGGACCGTCCAGTATCCTCTTCCTCCCCCTTATTCCATCTCCACCCATATCCATCCCGTACTGAGTCGCTGCCGTGTTGTCCACTTGATTCGTGCATATCCCATCAGACGTCGCCGAGTTCACCTGCGACCCCAGCGTATTTGTCACAGCTGTTGCATATCCAGCTCCATTTCCCTCTCTTCCTCCAAAACAAACTCCTGTTTGCTGGTAATCGCTGTTCCTCTTTCCATTCGCCGTATAGTTTGATGGTTCTCCTGAACCACTTTGTGGGAATGTTTGGTACGTTGGGACACCGCTTTCTACGCCGTTTCCGGTGCTCTGGTGGTCGGAGTACCCATACTGCGGTGTCGCCGTTGCAGGTGGTAGACCAGTAGCTGGCGTCATCAGTCGGTGTTGCTGAGAGGAGGATCCACATGTTTCCCGGACAACCCCAGCTCTGATTAAGAAATCCTCCAAAGTCATCTCTCCAAAAGTGATTTGACGCTGGGTAGTTCCAGGATCACCAGAGTCCTGCAGTTGTTGACCCTCTAGCTGTTGCTGTTCTTGGATTTTGTGGATTTCAGCCCATACCTCGTCGACGGTTTTGTGGCAGAGCTGTGCAGGGAGAGTGAGCGAACCTTGGCGGAGCAATCCGGGTTGGTTGCACCTTAGCTTACCGGCTCTGACTTCGTCTGGGTTGGTTTGCGAATTCTCATTGTTGGAGTGAATAGCTTGGTTTTCTTCGGCGGTCCAGATGTTATTGAGGAACTCGTCCATGTTCATGGACCCAAAATTCTTCCCGTTCTCGCACAGTGCGTGCTGGAACTCGTCGAGGGTGAGGGAGTAGATGGAGGATTGTCTTCCAAGTGATGACAGGGAGTGGGTCTTCGATGCATCCTCGGGTGGCTGTTCTGCTGTTGCTTCTACCTCTCCACGGGCATGAGCTTCCGACTCCGGAACCACCATGGTTTCACCTTTTAAACTTCGAAGGTTTATTCTGCGATTCTGGGCTTCTCTGTTATGGGCGGAGATGGAGGGGTTTCGATTCGATTGTCCAGTCCCCGGAGAGAGAGTTGGAAAGCCTGAAGCAAAAATGTTAGGGACTACGGTAGTAAAAATGGATAAAGTAAGAGAATATTTATAATTATGTTATTTAATTAAAAGGGAGATTAATGAACGGGAAAAAGGTGTTCAGATTCTAAGTTCTAACAACTAACAAGCCCAAAAAAAAAAACCAAAAAGCCCGAGCAGTTATTTCTTTATGGTGTGTTTAGGTTGGTAGAAAATAAGAGTAAATTCCTTGTGCTTCCACCTTTCTGTTTCTCTCTTATATCTATCAAGCCAAACATAACTTTAACCCTTATGCTATATTTGCTTTGAACTTTGAAAGAAAAAATAGGAGAAGGAAGGGAAAGTACATTGTATAGGTTTCTCTACCTTTCCCCGGTTCACCATCTTTATCACTCGGGATTTCCTGTTCACTTCTCCTGCCCACTCTATACTCGCCGTGAATTGGAACCACACATCTCTATTTTGAATTGAGATGTATAGCTGCAATTCACGGCGGACAGAGAATCAGTAGAAAAAGTAAGTAGGGAATCTGAGCTACATCCTTATTCCTTCAGTAAGCCCACAAGATAGATACATCCACTGAAATAATAAGTGTGCTATTCGACGTATAATTTTATTCCGCACTCCCCATCTGATTAATCGGATGGGATAAAAAATCTCGATCAGACGGTTGCATGTGTATGATTCAACTTCAATATATTATTTCATTAAAACAATAGTGTGAAGAGATGTTACCACCAAATCCACACCTCAAATCAAATGTTCCAGAATCATCTGATCATGCTGATCATGATCGTAGGGCAATCTAAAGTTGTGGGTCCCAACAATAGCATGGGGACACGGCAGTTTTAAGCAACTTGGAGCACTGATCCTCGGTACAGCCTGGCATAGAGTTTAAAAATGCTCCTACGTCAATCCTCTTTCTCGTTCCGGTACGTAAAGTCGACACGTGGTCTGCATGCTTGTAGTGGGGCCCATAAATCAGCAGCAAGTCGTGATCTAATAAAATTTTGTACTTAATGATGTGATAGACTATGCTTGTAGAGGCTGACGCGTGGGGCCAACACTGAGCCCCACCGAAGTCAAACACTGTTGGTCCAGATTTTCTGATTGTCGTCTGAATTTACGGATAGGAATCTGATAGGAACATCTCTCCCTTGTCATCATGGAAGATGTTACCACTGTGCGGTTGCAGTCACCAGTTGGGTTACAAGAAAACCGTCTTAACACATTTCCAACATTATCCGTGTCCCTCTTATCTCACCGTGAGACTGGAACACCACAATTAGAACGTGGTGGAACAGCTTTTTGTTGTGAGCTTGTGCCACTCCTGAAGACTCTACAGGCTACAGGGAATCGAAACATTACCTATTGTCGCGGCCGAAATGTTTCGAGAAATTCGGTTGCATATCGACCGAAACGAAGAGTGTCCTTTTCGAAGCGATTCATGAATCATGAAAGGTCTTGTCTCATTTCCTGAACTGGAAAGAACCTCCTGACTGAACAGACGAAAGCTGCTTTCCTCTTTTGAGAATGAAAAACTTAGCTGGCATCGTAGTTTACGTCACATTGCGTGCTAAGAAGTCACATCGGAGACCTAATTAGCAAGAAAAAGAAAAGTAATTAGAGGAAGTATTGGTCGTTGGTCACCGGTTCGACCGTTCAAATCGAACGGATCAGCCCCTATTATTGGTCGTTGGTCAATTGTACGATGGAGCTAGGAGGTGGACTGAACGGTAAAAACCCCTATTATTTATATTTATAATTCAATTTATAATTTTTTATTTATAATCGGATCGAATGGATCGACGGTTGAACCGCCAGAGTCAGATGGTTTCTGACCCAATCAACGGTTTTTGACGAGATAACGGATTTTATGCAAATCAGACGAAACCAAACCCAAAATATTTGAAAGAGTAATGGTTCGAACGGTTCAACCGGTCGAAAAACACTGGAAAAGAGAACCGTATGGAAGTTGTAGCAGAATATCGTTTTCAGAGAAAATTTTAATTGCAACGGACTAATTTAATGAAATTTGATTCAAGAACAGTGAAAATTAGAGAAAGAGAGAAGCGATTGAATTCTGCAGAAGATCGCAAGAGGAAGTTAATCAAAATTAGGTCACATTTTTTTATCAGTGAAGACAGAAAATATCACCATTTTTAGATAATTTCCCCTTTTCTTATTCAACCTGAATAAGAAAAGGAGGAGGAGAGAAGAACAAGAATAGAAATCAAACCTTGGCAGAGCTACTCAGAGAAAAATATGCAAGCGACCATGACAATTACCTGATTGTCCTCCTCTTCACAGGAAAAGTAATGATCGAGGCAAGAAGAAAAGCTTGAGAAAACAGAACAGAGCTCGACCAGTGATCTGCGAAAATGCTGAACCGCAGCTCCCTATCTCAGGCACCCTCGGGAGTCCCTCCAACCGATCCACTGCACTCAAAAATCATCCATCTTATGTGGCCGCCATTAAAACAGGCATTCTAAAGCTGCAAAAAGAAAATCACAGAGATCGAGAGAGAGAGAGAGAGATTTTCTATTGTTTTCAAGAGCTCGACTTTTCTGTAGTTCTCAGTGGCGAAAGCTCTGTGAGAAGAAAAAGAAGAAAGAGATGGCTTCTGCTTCACTGAGAGTCTGAGACAGAGTCGGTTCTTCCCGGGCTTATTTCTTGCGGAGTTATCCTCCGGTTCCTCCCCAGCCACCGAGCCACGGTGGCGGATTAATTTAGCTGGATTTTATACAGTGTATCGATTCCGCTGTTTATTACAAAAGCCAGGTTCGACGATCTTAGGTTGACACGTGTCAGAAACGTGTCCTACGCAGACGCCTCTTTCCCGGATTTCCCCACCTACGCGTGTCGCCTCTCCTTTTGAAGTCCTCAACCTCCAATGTCCAATCGACCAATCCTCATGCACGTGCGCCTCTACTCCCCTTGTTCTAGGTGACGTTAGGAGCGGGTTGTTTGGTTGGAAGAATGGATTTTTGGATTCCAATTTATAGATTTGTCGTATTAGTTGAACCGGACAAGCCACATTCTATCGATATTTTGGAATGTCTATTTTTTTTTTTTTAAATCTAGGGCTGCAAAGTCTATCCGTTTCATATGAATTCGAAACAGTTAAGGGTGATCCGGATTTGATCCGTTTATGATTGGTTTGGATTCGGATAAACCCATGTACGAAGTCAACCAGACCCAGTTCAATATGAGTCCATTATACAGATGGACTAGGTCCAATCCAATTCGATAAATATTTTAGATTATTTTGGATTAATTAAGTCAATGTTTGCACCGATTATTTTGGATTAATTAAGTCAATGTTTGCACCGTATCTGTTCAAATTGATTATAAATTAGATTGTATCCACCCAAACTTGTTTCATTGACATTCATACTCCTATCTTTTGTTAATGGATCAAATATTGGTTCAACATTACCTAGTCCAATATAAATTCATTGCAGGTGGAACCGTGGAACAGGTTCAATCCAATCCAATTGATACTTTGGACCATTAAGTCTACAATGGTCTAATTTAATGTGTCTTATATGTCTTATTGGTCCATCCAACCCATTTAAATTAGTAGTGGAGCTAGGGGTGGCGGCCACCCATGCCTTGAAACCCTGCAACACCCATTTAAGTCTTACCTATATTTTGGTCCGTTATCAACTTTTACTTGTTTTTAGCCTCCCTCAAGAAGAAAAAAAAAATCTTAGCTCTACCATTGGTTCAAATTGATTTTGATTCAGATGGGGTCCAACCCAAATCCGATCTATTGACACTCCTACCCCATTCAATTTATGTATACTTTAAATTTGTATTTTATGTACAAGTAAAGATGTTTTTAAGTATTGTGTTTTTACTAAGGCTTAATTTTGGAAAGAGTGCAAATACAAGGTTTAGAAATTAGAGAGGCTGTCATGGGGAGTCCATAAGCTCATTTTAGAGGCTGATGAGAAGACAATTATTGATGTTGAATAGTCTTCATCCCAATGAGTGCAATCCCCACCTTGCTATCCTTGGATGATACCATACATTTGCTTTCTAGTTTTGAAGAGATCAACTTCACCTTCTGATGGGGTTGTACCCTTGAATGGTTAAATTGCCACATGGAAGCTGATGTGGCCTAAGGCTTGGCCACAATCTTGGTCAAATGAACACCGTGGAGCATGGTCAAACGTCATTAGTGATGGTTACGATGCACACTGAGAACCTCAGACCAGATGGGGCACATGATGAACAATGGGCTCTGCTCAACCTCCCAGGAGCACGAAACTACCCTAAGATCTTGGACAAGGGCCACTCCGGCGCATGCCACATGTTCTAGAAAGTGAGGAGCACAACGGCACTCGCCACAAGTATTTAATGACACGTCACACGAGGTATTTTTTTTTTCTTTCCACTTCTAGCTTTCACTCTCTTGCTCTTCTAAGCTCTTCAGTTCTACTCGACTACAACTACCTTGGCCTATTTGACTTTCTCTCCTCTACTTATTGACTTGAGCGTTTGAGTGCTCCTATTTGGGGATTTATCTCATGTAGTGATTGTGACAACAAGCGAAAGGGCCATTTTTGTACTTTTAATTTTCCTTTATTGTATATTTAATTACTTTGTATGCTATCTTCTGTATTCTAAGGGCAGATTTATCTTTTTACATTTCTTTAATATAAATATCTTTCTTAAGGCGTCCACAGTTGCTAAGACACACCTGCCAAACTGGTGTGCTCTCTTTTTTTCTCTCTATCACTCTCTCTTTGTCCCTTTCGATCTGATTCTAACATGGTATCGGAGCATGTCTTGATTTGACCTACAAAAACTCCTTTCTTGATCTGTGTTGCCTCTTCACGTGTGGGGTTTCCCTAACAGTATTGGGAACCCTTTGAGTGCCTTTGAATCCTCTCTCTTGATCTCTTTGTAGAATCATCTTGATTCTCTAGATCTAGTGCCGCCTAGAGGAGACCTAGACCTAGGGTTTCCCCTTGTTTTTGGCTTGGATCAGTTGTGTTTTAGAAGGGTTTTGATCCACTTCTAGTTTGGTAGATTGTTGTAGTTTCCTTTTCTGGACATCTACTGAAAGGTACTACTATTTACCATCTGTTTTAAAGTGTCCACTTCCTTCCTTTTCTGGCATTAGAGATAATGGAAGTTCTTCCTATTAAGTTCAATGGTACAAACTATGCATTGTGAAAATTTAATTTTCAATTCCATGTTGAGGCAAAGGGATTTTGGGGATATCTGGATGTGTCTGTTGCTAAACTTGATGGTTCTAACATTAAGGCCCTTAATCAATGAAAAATTGACAATGCAAAGATTGCATCCTAGATATTAGGTTCAATTGAGTCTAATGTTGCAATTCCTATGAGGGGATACCAGACTGCATATGAGATGTATGAGTATCTTAAGAAAGTATATCAATAGTCGAACACCTCTAGACAATATCAAATCGAAGTTGATATATTTTCTTATTATCAAGGAGAAAGAAAAGCTCAAGAATATTATGCAAGCTTTATCAATCTTTGGGCAGAGTATGATAATACATATGGTAAAGGATCCCTTAGATTGTTGTGTGAAATACATGAAAGAGCACTTTAATAGAAAGAAGATCGTGCATTTTCTATTACATCTTAGACCTGAATTTGAAGTTGGCAGATCCAATATTCTTAGTCGAAGGACCCTTCCTGATCAGGATACTATTATTGGAGAAATATTGAGAGTAGAAACCAAGATTATTATATAGACCACTCTTGATGGAAAGAAATATTCCAATATTAATGTTGCTTTCCTTGCAACAAAACCAAAGGGGAAGAAAAACTTTTCCAGAGTACAATGCTATAAATTTAAGGAACTTGGGCATGTTGTCTTCCATTGCAAGAAGTATATATGCACTTATTACAAACAGTTTGGCCATATAATTACAAAATGCCCTACATGACCCTAGAAAGGTGGTGAGTCAAATCAGAAGAAAGGAAACTATAAGGCCTATCAAACAACTATAGAGGGTTTAGATTTCTCCTCTTCTGTTTTTTCAATGGCTGGCCAAAATGATACTTCTGGTGACATGTCTGAAGAACGCATTCGGCAGCTTATGTCCTTAGTCATATTTTCAACATTCTCTACAATTGGTCTGCCTGGTAAGTCCCCGACCTATTGCTCTTCACCAAATCATCTTTGGATTATTGACACTAGAGCCTCTAACCATATGACAAGGGCCATATTTGGTCAATATCTCAAACCCTATCTTCCTAATAAACACACTGTTACTAGAAATGGTGGAAAGATAGAAATACTTGGTTGTGATCATTTGTATTTATCTACCTCTAAATCTTCTTCTTTCACTAATCTAAAACTTTATTTG